ATGTGGGCCCTGCTACCGGGTCGAACTGCGTCTCGAAGCACCGAGTGGACCTACCAATAAAGGCTTAGATATTCTCCAGCTGGAGTTCTTTGGTCTTTAGGGCTGTTTTCCTGGAAATCTTTGGAGACTCTTAAGACTGTTTCCCCCCAAAAAGTCTTAAGGGTTGAAGCTTTAGTACAGGGGAAGCTTGCACACGTCCTATACATTAGCTTTCCTTGCTAGACTAACTAAAAAATGGCTCCCTTCCCTTCCCAATTGCCCTGAGCAAGGGACGGGACCAAAACTTAACGATGATGGACAGGTGATTTGCCCTATGACTGCAACCAAAGGAAGCCACCCTTCTGCAGAGTCCCTGAAACCCAAGGCTGCAAGCAAACACTTAATACAAAGCAAATAAAATTGGAGCTCCTGGTACAGCCGTACCAGAACAGATGCAATAAATGAATTGGGGAAAAAAGAAAGTTTACTTGCCAGATGTAATTGACCCAGGCCAACCACGGAGCCTGGCGTCGTTGTAGCCACTATCCGTAACATCAGAACCGGTATCCACAGCCGGAGAGCTATTTTAATGCGCTGCCTTGGTATGGTTTGCATGAGTTATCAAAGCAAAAGAAACAAGTGACAAAAAGAGGGTGCAAGGCTGCAAACCGTCTCGATTCGGTCCAAGAAAGTTCAGGATGCTGTTTTCCTCCTGAATGGAAATGATATCTACTCTCTCAGACGTAAAATCGTTCCGGTGTGAAGAGAACCCAAATAGCTGAGTCCAAGAAGGACGCACTCAATTTCAGCTTCTGCGCTCTTAAGGGGAAGTGTATTTTTAGTCCGTTCTTCCTTATAGCGAACGAGCCGAAATTGAGTCGCAGGTCTCCTAAGGGAGCCCCCATCTTGAGGGCGCTCGACTGGGAAATATTGCTCTTCCGTGTACGTAATTAGACTGGGAGTTTGCTGCCGAAGCGCCATCCTTTTTCGGAGCCTGCAACCTTTTCTCCTTGCAGTTCTACCACTTTTAATAGATAACTCACTCTTCTGGGGATGATTTGACCTAATCGTAGTGTGGCTGTTCATATCCAAAGTGTTTCTTGTTCAGGTTTTCATAATATTGAATTTTACTTGGTTTTTAACTGTGCAAGAGTGAATTCATATAGCATTTTTGTAGTATTTTAAGGGGGCATCTCGCCAGTGTCGTCCTGAGAAGTGTGAGATAAACCTCTGTGTGAGAGGAGCCTCATGTGATTAAGCTCCAGTATAAAGGCTGCTGTGTGTAAGCACTGGAGTGTGGAGCTTTAACTGGGTATTTTTGATTACAAAAGTGTGAGTCAAGCACTGAAAAAATGAGTAGGCCGAAGCCTGTTAGAGTCAGTGACCCAAAGCTAGTGTCATCCTGAAGAGTGTGAGGTAAACTTCTGTGTGAGAGAAGTCTCATGTGAGAAAGCCCCAGTATAAAGGCTGCTGTGTGTAAGCACTGGGGTGTGGAGCTTTAACTGGGTATTTTTGATTACAAAAGTGTGAGTCAAGCACTGAAAGAGTGAGTAGGCCGAAGCCTGTTAGAGTCAGTGGGCCAAAGCTAGTGTCGTCCTGAGAATTGTGAGATAAACCTCTGTGTGAGAGTAGCCTCATGTGATAAAGCTCAAGTGTAAAGGCTTCTGTGTGTAAGCACTGGAGTGTGGAGCTTTAACTGGCCGAAGCCTGTTAGAGTCAGTGGGCCAAAGCTTGTGTCATCCTGAGGGGTGTGAGGTAAACCTCTGTGTGAGAGAAGTCTCATGTGATAAAGCTCCAGTGTAAGTACTGGAGTGTGGAGCGTTAACTGGGTATTTTTTATTACAAAAGTGTGAGTCAAGCACTGAAAGAGTGAGTAGGCCAAGCCTGTTAGAGTCAGTGGGCCAAAGCTAGTGTCATCCTGAGAAGTGTGAGATAAACCTCTGTGTGAGAGAAGTCTCATGTGATAAAGCTCCAGTGTAAGTACTGGAGTGTGGAGCTTTAACTGGGTATTTTTTATTACAAAAGTGTGAGTCAAGCACTGAAAGAATTAGTAGGCCAAAGCCTGTTAGTCAGTGGGCTGAAGCTAGTGTCCTCCTAAGGAGTGTGAGATAAACCTCTGTGTGAAAGAAGTCTCATGTGATAAAGCTCCAGTATAAAGGCTGCTGTGTGTATAAAGACTGGAGTGTGGAGCTTTAACTGGCCGAAGTATGTTAGAGTCAGTGGGCCAAAGCTAGTGTCGTCCTGAAGGGTGTGAGGTAAACCTCTGTGTGAGAGAATTCTCATGTGATAAAGCTCCAGTGTAAGTACTGGAGTGTGGAGCTTTAACTGGGTATTTTTGATTACAAAAGTGTGAGTCAAGCACTGAAAGAGTGAGTAGGCCGAAGCCTTTTAGAGTCAGTGGGCCAAAGCTAGTGTCGTCCTGAGGAGTGTGAGGTAAACCTCTGTGTGAGAGAAGTCTCATGTGATAAAGCTCCAGTATAAAGGCTGCTGTGTGTAAGCACTGGAGTGTGGAGCTTTAACTGGGTATTTTTGATTAGAAAAGTGTGAGTCAAGCACTGAAAGAATGAGTAGGCCGAAGCCTGTTAGAGTCAGTGGACCAAAGCTAGTGTCGTCCTGAGGGGTGTGTAAACCTCTGTGTGAGAGAAGTCTCATGTGAGAAAGCTCCAGTATAAAGGCTGCTGTGTGTAAGCACTGGAGTGTGAGTAGGCCGAAGTCTGTTAGAGACAGTGAGCCAAAGCTAGTGTCGTCCTGAGGGGTGTGAGGTAAACCTCTGTGTGAGAGAAGTCTCATGTGATAAAGCTCCAGTGTAAGTACTGGAGTGTGGAGCTTTAACTGGGTATTTTTGATTACAAAAGTGTGAGTCAAGCACTGAAAGAGTGAGTAGGCCAAAGCCTGTTAGAGTCAGTGGGCCAAAGCTAGTGTCCTCCTGAGAAGTGTGAGATAAACCTCTGTGTGAGAGGAGCCTCATGTGATAAAGCTCCAGTATAAAGGCTGCTGTGAGTAAGCACTGGAGTGTGGAGCTTTAGCTGGGTATTTTTGATTAGAAAAGTGTGAGTCAAGCACTGAAAGAATGAGTAGGCCGAAGCCTGTTAGAGTCAGTGGACCAAAGCTAGTGTCGTCCTGAGGGGTGTGAGATAAACTTCTGTGTGAGAGTAGCCTCATGTGATAAAGTTCCAGTACAAAGGCTGCTGTGTGTAAGCACTGGAGTGTGGAGCTTTAACTGGCCGAAGCCTGTTAGAGTCAGTGGGCCAAAGCTAGTGTCGTCCTGAAGGGTGTGAGGTAAACCTCTGTGTGAGAGAAGTCTCATATAGCATTTTTGTAGTATTTTAAGGGGGCATCTCGCCAGTGTCGTCATGAGAAGTGTGAGATAAACCTCTCTGTGAGAGGAGCCTCATGTGATAAAGCTCCAGTATAAAGGCTGCTGTGTGTAAGCACTGGGGTGTGGAGCTTTAACTGGGTATTTTTGATTAGAAAAGTGTGAGTCAAGCACTGAAAGAGTGAGTAGACCGAAGCCTGTTAGAGTCAGTGGGCCAAAGCTAGTGTCGTCCTGAGGAGTGTGAGGTAAACCTCTGTGTGAGAGAAGTCTCATATAACATTTTTGTAGTATTTTAAGGGGGCATCTCGCCAGTGTCGTCATGAGAAGTGTGAGATAAACCTCTCTGTGAGAGGAGCCTCATGTGATAAAGCTCCAGTATAAAGGCTGCTGTGTGTAAGCACTGTGGTGTGGAGCTTTAACTGGGTATTTTTGATTAGAAAAGTGTGAGTCAAGCACTGAAAGAGTGAGTAGACCGAAGCCTGTTAGAGTCAGTGGGCCAAAGCTAGTGTCGTCCTGAAGGGTGTGAGGTAAACCTCTGTGTGAGAGAAGTCTCATGTGATAAAGCTCCAGTATAAAGGCTGCTGCGTGTAAGTAATGGAGTGTGGAGCTTTAACTGGATATTTTTGATTACAAAAGTGTGAGTCAAGCACTGAAAGAGTGAGTAGGCCAAAACCTGTTAGAGTCAGTGGGCCAAACTAGTGTCGTCCTGAGAAGTGTGAGATAAACCTCTGTGTGAGAGAAGTCTCATGTGATAAAGCTCCAGTATAAAGGCTGCTGTGTGTAAGCACTGGAGTGTGGAGCTTTAACTGGGGTATTTTTGATTAGAAAAGTGTGAGTCAAGCACTGAAAGCTAGTGTCGTCCTGAGGGGTGTGAGGTAAACCTCTGTGTGAGAGAAGTCTCATGTGATAAAGCTCCAGTATAAAGGCTGCTTTGTGTAAGCACTGGGGTGTGGAGCTTTAACTGGGATTTTTGATTACCAAAGTGCGAGTCAAGAACTGAAAGAGTGAGTAAGCTGAAGCCTGTTAGAGTCAGTGGGCCAAAGCTAGTCTTGTCCTGAGAACTGTGAGGTAAACCTCTGTGTGAGAGAAGTCTCGTGTGATAAAGCTCCAGTACAAAGGCTGCTGTGTGTAAAAAGCTCCAGTGTAAGTTTGTTGTGAGAGGAGGCTCTGTGAGAGCAAAGCTGTTTATCTACACAAGGAAGAAGCCCAGCATGGAAGCAAAGTATAAAGGACTTTATTTGTGTTGTGGAAACCTTGTTATTGTAAATAGTGCATCCATATTGTTTTACTACAAAGAAAAGCCTCCTATGGAAGAGATATATATTTTCTGTTCGTTGTGGGAGTTCTGTGTGCCATATTTGGTTCAATTCCATCATTGGTGGAGTTCAGAATGCTCTTTGATTGTAGGTGAACTATACATCCCAGTAACTACAACTCGCATATGTCAAGGTCTATTTTCCCCCAAGAGCGCCTCAAGAGCACCCTGGGCAAAACCAACCATACTGCGAATGCTTACTTTGCGTAATGGTTGAGCCGTCCCTGTTGCCAGCAGTTCTGAAATGACTTCTACTGGTTCCTTTAGTACTCTTGGGTGTAGTTTACCTAGCCCTTGGATTCATTTAGGGCAGCCAGGTCTCTTCCCACACTTTCTATCTTACTACACTTAAATGTCATAGGCTTAGTGCTATGGTATTCAGATCCTTACAAGAGAAATACATTTTCTAAGGTAGAGCCTTACATGCGTTGGCAGGTAGAGGTCATACACGGATCCGGAGTCCACGTCAATAGCATGAAACCCGACTGACGAACCATAGATGACTTTTAGCCTCTGCCCGTTTTCAACCGTCAAGTCAACCAGCAGCGGTTTTTGATGAAGGGAGGTAAAGGACTGAGAAGAGAAACAACAAGCATTGTATGTTAGATCAGGAATCGGTTTGAAAGCGGGTAGCTTAGGCAGGATTTACATTGACCTTAATTCCCAGGATCTGATCCCAGACTATCTGCTCATCCCAGATTATCTGGCAGTGGGGACTCATATAATCCGGTTCAAAGCAGATAATCTGGGAACCAGCTTTAGGATGACATCGCCCAGAGGTTTCATGTAGATGCTGAAAAGCATAGGGAAAGAATAGAACATTGCATCCTCTAGCTTCACTGACTGGGTACGACCCTCAAGGAAGAATCAGAGCTACTGGAGAGCAGTGCCCCCGAGACCCATTCCCGAAAGTCAACCCAGAAGGATACCATGGTCGATGGTATTGAAAGCCGCTGAGATATCCAAGAGATCCAACAAGGACACACTTCCCCTGTCAAGTTCTCTGCGGAGGTCATCCACCAAGGCGACCAAAGCTGTCTCCATATCATGACCAGGCCTAAAGCCTGACTTGTGAAAGTTCCAGATAATCAGTGCCGTCCAAGGATCCCTGGAGTCGAGTAGCAATCACCTGCTCCACGACCTTGCCCAAGAAGGGAAGATTTGAAATTGGCCGGTAAATGTCCCACCCTGGACATTCCACAGATATATAAACTCCATCGTGCGCCAACCTTATTGTACCTCATGAAGGCGGATCTGGCCAGGGTGGTCCATGCCTTAGTCACATCCATATTGGACTACTGTAATGCACTCTACGTGGGGCTACCCTTAAAAACGGCCCGGAAATTTCAACTGGTCCAACAGGCGGCGGCCAGGTTGTTAACTGGTGCTCCTTACAGGGAGAGGTCAACCCTCCTGTTTAAGGAGCTCCATTGGCTGCCGTTCATTCCGGTCCCAATTTAAGGTGCAGGTGCTTACCTACAAAGCCCTAAACGGTTTGGTACCCGCCTACCTGCGTGACCGCATCTCTGTGTACGAACCCACACGATCTCTTCGCTCATCTGGAGAGGCCCTACTCGCAATCCCACCTTCATCGCAAGCACGATTGGTGGGGACGAGGGACAGGGTCTTCTCGGTGGTGGCCCCTCGACTCTGGAACTCGCTCCCCAAGGACATTAGGCATGCCCCAACTCTGGCAGTCTTTAGAGGAGCCTGAAAATGTGGTTGTTCCAGTGTGCCTTCCCAGAATAAGGAAACCCTAAGCAACATGTCCCTAATCGCACTTTACTAATGATCTAGGATTGTCTGCTCGCTCCATCTCTCTCCAAATACCTACCCTAGTTATATTTCACCTTGTCATACCCAGCATTCTTAAAATTTTAATTATTACAATTGGCCCGCCATAATGCGTCGTGGTGTATTGTTACTGCTTACTGCTTTGTTTATGAGTTTATTTATTGTCTATATTGCTGTTGTTGTTGATTTTACTGATGTACTTGGGCTCAGCCTTTTGTAAGTCGCACTGAGTCCTTCAGGAGATGGTAGCGGGGTATAAATAAAGGATTATTTATTTATTTATTTATTTATTTTCCTAGTTTCCAACAGACCTCACATCCTCGCCGAGGATGCCTGCCATAGATGGAGGCGAAATGTTGCAATAGTCTGCTGGCATTGATAGTAACACTAGTTGTAGTAGGAGAGGCAGGAAAACTACTCGCGAGCAAGACTATGATGAAGTGCAACAAAGGAAAAGAATCCAGGAGATACTTAGCGAGCCAACAGATGAGGATTCTTTTGAGGGTTTTGAGGCAAATGAACTGGATGATGGGATATCAGATTCTGGGTCTGATGGGATGGATTGGACAAGGGTTCAAGAGATTCAAGATATTTGTGCTGAACCCACAAGCAGTGACACATTTGAGGGTTGGAATAGTGAAGACTTGGATGGGACTTGGGGACCTTCAGGATTAGACCAGAGATGGACTACTTGGAGGAGTGGTGGAAGAGACACAGCTGGGAATGGGTTGGGCCGAACTAGGGGCAACTCCAATTCGGATGAGGAGCTGCAACAAGATGCAGCTGGGACATGGGTGTTGGTTGAATCAAGCTCTGATGAGGACTTGTAATAAAAAGGGGAGTGTTTGCTATTGTAACCTTGCAATCGGCAAGGAGTCTTGTTGGGCGCTTTATGGCTCTTTGCTACAGAAGACAGGTTTGAATGAAGACTTTGGGACATAAGTTATGCTCTGGGCTTTAGCATCAAAGGGGGCTGGAACTGTGTGGGTTTTTGCTGGACTGCACTGTTTGGATGTTTGCATTAGCTGCCATATTGCCCCGCTGCTTTGGCTCCTTGTGTTTACTCATCGGATTGGGACCTGACCTGGCAGCTGTTTCGTCTCTCTTTGGATCGGACCGGACTGGACTTTGTTCCTTATCATTACTCTCTCTCCTCCACATCTACGGCTGAGAGTCTGGAGCTGGCGTCGACCACATTCCTGCATTCCTGCACTTCAGTTCCTGCTGTGTTTGAAGCTTGAGTTTCTTTTTACAACCCTTGAAAGGCTGCATTTAAGCATTTTTTGAGTTTACTTCAAGTTTTATCTCTGGTGAATCCAGATTATATTCTGTTGGGGATTTGGGGGTCTTTTTGCTTGTTTGGGCTTTTTCACACTGTAAACTAAGTGTTTTTTGCCCTGTGATTTTGTTTTGGACTAATTCCATGTTTGTTTGAACAATAAACTATACTCCTTTAATTGGCTGGCATCTGACCTTGACAGGAAACATCAGGAGAGAATGCTTCTGGAACATGCCCACACAGCCCAACAAAACTCACAACAACAGTGATTCCAGCCATGAAAGCCTTTGACAAAATACTGTATTTACCATTTTTATTGCTTTGCTTACATATATCCTTCAATAAACTGCTTGCCGATTTTACTACACTGACGTGGTGTTTAAAGATAGAGGTGTTCCTGTTCTGGCATACAACATAAAATGGTGAACAACCCAAACAAATGCCAGAACTAACCCAAGGATCCTTGGAATGGCTATCCTATTTAGTCATCAGAACATAGGGAGCTGCTCTAAAGATCCATCTTTCTAATCTGTTTTTTTTTTTGGGTATAATTTTGACCAGAATTTATTTCACAAACCGCGACTGTTCCATGGAACAGCATCAATTTTGTATTCTGATTTTTTAAAAAAAAAAACCAGTTTGAATTATGAAAGCCTTCAACCCCGAGAGTGCTAAATAATGAAGCAAGGAGGGAAGCTGCATCATTAGGATTTCTCATATGCAAATTTAAATCAAATTTTGGCAAAAAAAATTACATAATTTATCAACAAGCCTGAGTTGCAGATCTATTAGACAGCTACTGGGAGCTTAGCTTTCTTTTTCCCCAGCTAATGTCCAAATATGTTTCTAGAACAATAATAGTGATATTAGCAGGAACATGTTGGTGGAATAAAATATTATGGAAAACAAGGAGAACAAGCTCTAAATACTAAACTGTTTCCTTTACTTACCTTAAAGGCCATGAATTTGTGGTACGGCTTCGGAGCCCAGGCATAGACCTCCACGGAATTTTTCACAGCAATCACAAGGAATTTGATTCTCTCATATTTCACTGCGAATAAACAATTGTGTTGTTTGAATCAGTACGTGGATGACATACTCATAGCACAGGTATGGGCCAACTTGGGCATCCAGGTGTTTTGGGCTTCAGCTCCCACAATTCCTTCAGTACATGGACAGCATCCTTCAGTAGAGGCATGGGTCAACTTGGGCATCCAGGTGTTTTGAGCTTCAGCTCCCACAATTCTTTCAGTAGATGGACAACATCTTTCAGTACGTGGATGACATACTCATAGCAGAGGCATGGGCCAACTTGGGCATCCAGGTGTTTTGGGCTTCAGCTCCCACAATTTCTTCAGTAGATGGACAACATCCTTCAGTTCGTGGATGACATACTCATAGCAGAGGCATGGGCCAACTTGGGCATCCAGGTGTTTTGAGCTTCAGCTCCCACAATTCTTTCAGTAGATGGACAACATCCTTCAGTTCGTGGATGACATACTCATAGCAGAGGCATGGGCCAACTTGGGCATCCAGGTGTTTTGGGCTTTAGCTCCCACAATTTCTTCAGTAGATGGACAACACCCTTAAGTACATGGACAGCATCCTTCAGTAGAGGCATGGGTCAACTTGGGCCCCCAGGTGTTTTGGGCTTCAGCTCCCACAATTCCTTCAGTAGATGGACAACACCCTTCGGTACGTGGATGACATACTCATAGCAGAGGCATGGGCCAACTTGGGCATCCAGGTGTTTTGGGCTTCAGCTCCCACAATTCCTTCAGTACATGGACAGCATCCTTCAGTAGAGGCATGGGTCAACTTGGGCATCCAGGTGTTTTGAGCTTCAGCTCCCACAATTCTTTCAGTAGATGGACAACATCTTTCAGTACGTGGATGACATACTCATAGCAGAGGCATGGGCCAACTTGGGCATCCAGGTGTTTTGGGCTTCAGCTCCCACAATTTCTTCAGTAGATGGACAACATCCTTCAGTTCGTGGATGACATACTCATAGCAGAGGCATGGGCCAACTTGGGCATCCAGGTGTTTTGAGCTTCAGCTCCCACAATTCTTTCAGTAGATGGACAACATCCTTCAGTTCGTGGATGACATACTCATAGCAGAGGCATGGGCCAACTTGGGCATCCAGGTGTTTTGGGCTTTAGCTCCCACAATTTCTTCAGTAGATGGACAACACCCTTAAGTACATGGACAGCATCCTTCAGTAGAGGCATGGGTCAACTTGGGCCCCCAGGTGTTTTGGGCTTCAGCTCCCACAATTCCTTCAGTAGATGGACAACACCCTTCGGTACGTGGATGACATACTCATAGCAGAGGCATGGGCCAACTTGGGCATCCAGGTGTTTTGGGCTTCAGCTCCCACAATTCCTTCAGTACATGGACAGCATCCTTCAGCAGAGACATGGGCCAACTTGGGCATCCAGATGTTTTGGAGTTCAACTCCCACAATTCCTTCAGTAGATGGACAACATCCTTCAGTACGTGGATGACATACTGATAGCACAGGTATGGGCCAACTTGGGTCTCCAGGTGTTTTGGAGTTCAACTCCCACAATTCCTAACAACCTCAACAGCTTAGGGGGAAAACGAAAGGGCCTGAGGCTTTTAGGAATTGTGGGAGTTGAAGTCCAAAACACCTGGAGGCCCAAGTTGACCCATGCCTCTACTGAAGGATGCTGTCCATGTACTGAAGGAATTGTGGGAGCTGAACTCCAAAACACCTGGATGCCCAAGTTGGCCCATGCCTCTGCTATGAGTATGTCATCCACGTACTGAAGGATGTTTTCCATGTACTGAAGGAATTTTGGGAGCTGAAGCCCAAAACACCTGGATGCCCAAGTTGTCCCATGCTTCTGCTATCAGTATGTCATCCACGTACTGAAGGATGCTGTCCATCTACTGAAGGAATTGTGGAAGCCGAAGCCCAAAACACCTGGATGGCCAAGTTGGTCCCTGCCTGTGCTATGAGTATGTCATCCACGTACTGAAGGATGTTGTCCATGTACTGAAGGAATTGTGGGAGCTGAAGCCCAAAATACCTGGAGGCCCAAGTTGACCCATGCCTCTACTGAAGGATGCTGTCCATGTACTGAAGGAATTGTGGGAGCTGAACTCCAAAACACCTGGATGCCCAAGTTGGCCCATGCCTCTGCTATGAGTATGTCATCCACGTACTGAAGGATGTTTTCCATGTACTGAAGGAATTTTGGGAGCTGAAGCCCAAAACACCTGGATGCCCAAGTTGTCCCATGCTTCTGCTATCAGTATGTCATCCACGTACTGAAGGATGCTGTCCATCTACTGAAGGAATTGTGGAAGCCGAAGCCCAAAACACCTGGATGGCCAAGTTGGTCCCTGCCTGTGCTATGAGTATGTCATCCACGTACTGAAGGATGTTGTCCATGTACTGAAGGAATTGTGGGAGCTGAAGCCCAAAATACCTGGAGGCCCAAGTTGACCCATGCCTCTACTGAAGGATGCTGTCCATGTACTGAAGGATTTGTGGGAGCTGAACTCCAAAACACCTGGATGCCCAAGTTGGTCCATGCCTGTGCTATGAGTATGTCATCCACGTACTGAAGGATGTTGTCCATCTACTGAAGGAATTGTGGGAGCTGAAGACCAAAACACCTGGATGCCCAAGTTGCCCCATGCCTCTGCTATGAGTATGTCATCTATGTACTGAATAGTGTTGTCCATGTACTAAAGGAATTGTGGATGTTGAACTCCAAAATACCTGGATGCCCAAGTTGGCCCATACCTCTGCTATGAGTATGTCATCTATGTACTGAACGGTGTTGTCCATGTACTGAAGGAATTGTGGGAGCTGAACTCCAAAACACCTGGATGCCCAAGTTGGTCCATGCCTGTGCTATGAGTATGTCATCCACGTACTGAAGGATGTTGTCCATGTACTGAAGGAATTGTGGGAGCTGAAGCCCAAAATACCTGGAGGCCCAAGTTGACCCATGCCTCTACTGAAGGATGCTGTCCATGTACTGAAGGAATTGTGGGAGCTGAACTCCAAAACACCTGGATGGCCAAGTTGGTCCATGCCTGTGCTATGAGTATGTCATCCACGTACTGAAGGATGTTGTCCATCTACTGAAGGAATTGTAGGAGCTGAACTCCAAAACACCTGGATGCCCAAGTTGGCCCATGCCTCTGCTATGAGTATGTCATCCACGTACTGAAGGATGTTGTCCATGTACTGAAGGAATTTTGGGAGCTGAAGCCCAAAACACCTGGATGCCCAAGTTGTCCCATGCTTCTGCTATCAGTATGTCATCCACGTACTGAAGGATGCTGTCCATCTACTGAAGGAATTGTGGAAGCCGAAGCCCAAAACACCTGGATGCCCAAGTTGGCCCCTGCCTGTGCTATGAGTATGTCATCCACGTACTGAAGGATGTTGTCCATGTACTGTGCCCAAGTTGGCCCATGCCTCTGCTATGAGTATGTCATCCACGTACTGAAGGATGTTTTCCATGTACTGAAGGAATTTTGGGAGCTGAAGCCCAAAACACCTGGATGCCCAAGTTGTCCCATGCTTCTGCTATCAGTATGTCATCCACGTACTGAAGGATGCTGTCCATCTACTGAAGGAATTGTGGAAGCCGAAGCCCAAAACACCTGGATGGCCAAGTTGGTCCCTGCCTGTGCTATGAGTATGTCATCCACGTACTGAAGGATGTTGTCCATGTACTGAAGGAATTGTGGGAGCTGAAGCCCAAAATACCTGGAGGCCCAAGTTGACCCATGCCTCTACTGAAGGATGCTGTCCATGTACTGAAGGAATTGTGGGAGCTGAACTCCAAAACACCTGGATGCCCAAGTTGGCCCATGCCTCTGCTATGAGTATGTCATCCACGTACTGAAGGATGTTGTCCATGTACTGAAGGAATTGTGGGAGCTGAAGCCCAAAATACCTGGAGGCCCAAGTTGACCCATGCCTCTACTGAAGGATGCTGTCCATGTACTGAAGGATTTGTGGGAGCTGAACTCCAAAACACCTGGATGCCCAAGTTGGTCCATGCCTGTGCTATGAGTATGTCATCCACGTACTGAAGGATGTTGTCCATCTACTGAAGGAATTGTGGGAGCTGAAGCCCAAAACACCTGGATGCCCAAGTTGCCCCATGCCTCTGCTATGAGTATGTCATCTATGTACTGAATAGTGTTGTCCATGTACTAAAGGAATTGTGGATGTTGAACTCCAAAATACCTGGATGCCCAAGTTGGCCCATACCTCTGCTATGAGTATGTCATCTATGTACTGAACGGTGTTGTCCATGTACTGAAGGAATTGTGGGAGCTGAACTCCAAAACACCTGGATGCCCAAGTTGGCCCATACCTCTGCTATGAGTATGTCATCTATGTACTGAACGGTGTTGTCCATGTACTGAAGGAATTGTGGGAGCTGAACTCCAAAACACCTGGATGCCCAAGTTGGCCCATACCTCTGCTATGAGTATGTCATCTATGTACTGAACGGTGTTGTCCATGTACTGAAGGAATTGTGGGAGCTGAACTCCAAAACACCTGGATGCCCAAGTTGGCCCATGCCTCTGCTATGGGTATGTCATCCACGTACTGAAGGATGTTGTCCATCTACTGAAGGAATTGTGGGAGCTGAAGCCCAAAACACCTGGATGCCCAAGTTGCCCCATGCCTCTGCTATGAGTATGTCATCTATGTACTGAATAGTGTTGTCCATGTACTAAAGGAATTGTGGATGTTGAACTCCAAAATACCTGGATGCCCAAGTTGGCCCATACCTCTGCTATGAGTATGTCATCTATGTACTGAACGGTGTTGTCCATGTACTGAAGGAATTGTGGGAGCTGAACTCCAAAACACCTGGATGCCCAAGTTGGCCCATACCTCTGCTATGAGTATGTCATCCAAGTACTGAACGATGTTGTCCATTTACTTCACCATTGTCCCAGGATCTGGAGGACCAAGAGTTGAGACCCCTTGCCTTAAACTTTCCCCAATCGCTTCTGGCAGATAATTCAATAATATCAATAAATAAGACCCACCGACTTTGTAGTGTACACAGCCTTCCAGGTCGCCCACCGGCACCCAGCCTTGTCGCTTCTCCACATCAGGGTCGTTTCGCAAGATCTTGTTTCGTAACCAAGATAGATAGTATACCCGTAGCTTATTCTTCTTGCCTGGAATACATTGGAATAGAAATGAAAAGGAAGCATTTGAAAACCTACTGGACTGTGTCACCACACTGGATGCAGTAAGACACCTTTCAGCACCATTTGCAGCAGGAAACAGGGAGGTATTTGAAGGAACATTTCATAGCTTCTAAACCAGTGTTTCTCAACCTTCCTAATGCTGTTGCCCCTTAATACAGTTCCTCATGTTGTGGTGACCCCCAACCATAACATTATTTTCGTTGCTACTTCATAACTGTAATTTTGCTCCTGTTATGAATCGTAATGTAAATATCTGATATGCAGGATGTATTTTCATTCACTGGACCAAATTTGGCACAAATACCCGATACGCCCAAATTTGAATACTGGTGGGGTTGAGAGGGTTGGTTTTGTCATTTGGGAGTTGTAGTTGCTGGGATATATAGTTCACCTACAATCAATTCTGAACTCCACCAACAATGTAACTGAACCAAACTTGGCACACAGACTCCCAAGACCAACAGAAAATACTGGAAAGGTTTAGTGGGCATTGACCTTGAATTTTGGAGTTGTAGTTCATTGTTAAGAGCACTGTGGACTCAAACAATGATGAATCTGGACCTAACTTGGCACAAATACTCAATATGCTCAGATATGAACACTGTTGGAGCTTGGGGAAAATAGATCTTGACATTTGGGAGTTGTAGTTGCTGGGAATTATAGTTCACCTACAATCAAAGAGAGTTGTGAACCCCGCCAATGATAGAATTGGGCCAAACTTCCCATACAGAACCCCCATAACCAACAGAAAATATTGTGTTTTCTGATGGTCTTTGGTGAAGCCATTGAAATCCACAAGCATGTGGACAATTTCAACAGAAAGGAGGAAACCATGAAAATGAACAAAATCTGGCTACCAGTATTAAAAAACTCTAAAATTACAACAGCACAACAACAGAGAGGAAACAAACAAGGACATCTAATCACCTCTCAACAAAAGATTGCTCCAGGCACTGCCAGGCAATCAAATGCTAATCAAGGTGGTCAGTTGAAACATTCACACCTAGCTCCAGCAGACAAGAGTCCTTTGTCCCACCCTGGTCATTCCACAGATATAAACCCTTTTTCCTAGTTCCAACAGACCTCACTACCTCTGAGGATGCTTGCCATAGATGCAGGCGAAACGTCAGGAGAGAATGCCTCTAGACCATGGCCATACAGCCCGAAAAAACCTACAACAACCCAGTGATTCCGGCCATGAAAGCCTTCAACAATACAACTGTTTTGGTTCGCTCCCGACATGATAAGTAAATAAAATTAACATTGAATGGCCTTGCAGCTTCAAAGGCAAGTCCATGAGGTCCTGGAATCAAATCCAAAGACCCTTTCGCATTCCTAAAGCTACCTTACATTAAGTAGCAGTTATTCTCTGTAGTCTCAGTATGGGATCTTTTCAGTGGAGCTACAAGGACTTTTTCAACACATTGAGATTTTGTCTCTTCTCTCCATTCCATGAATCCATATTATTTATTTATTATTTATTTATAGCCTTTTTCTATTCCGCCCTTCTCCTCACCCCGCAGGGGATCTGGGCGGATTACAGTGTACACATATATGGCAAACATTCAATGCCAATTTTTGAGATACAAACATATACAGACATACACAGAGGCTATCTAACTTTTTCTGCCAGGGGAGCTGTCGCTTTCCTCGTCCATCTGCGACACTGATGAAGCACTTCCGCATTCCCCGCATGCTTCCCCGCTGGAATGCTTTGCTGGAGTCTTCTTTATGGCCTCATAAATCAGTTAATTTAGCCTCCCCACACTTTTAAGGTGGTACCTAATTTTCCTACTTGACAGATGCAACTGTCTTTCGGGTTGCAAAGGTCGACAACAGGCTACACACAATTGGTTGGAAACCCACTCCAACCTGGGCTGGCTTCGAACTCATGACCTTTTGGTCAGAGTGATCGTAATGCAGCTGACACTCAGCCAGCTGCGCCACAATCCCGGTGTTCTTGCGAGTCCCTCCAGAACTGTAAGCACTAGGCCTGTTTGATCAAGAAAAAATTTGTTTCTAAAATCGATTTGTAATTGGGGTGTTTTTTTGTTTCGATATTTAAAATAATTACAAAACTTTCCAAAAAAAGTTTTGGTATTTAAGAAATTTTGTAAATATTAACGAATTTTTAGAATATTTTTGGTATTTCTTAAGAATAATATTAAAATAATATTAAAAAATATTTTAAAATGGAAAATTAACCAAAAAATGGCCCAAATGTGGACCAAACACAGGCAGGATACAGCAAATGAGAGCACACACCAACAGAAGAGTCTTTTCTTTTTTAGAATATTTTTTAAAAATAATATAATATTAAAAAATAATATTAAAATAATATTAAAAAATATTTTAAAATGGAAAATTAACCAAAAAAAGACCAAACACAGGCAGGATACAGCAAATGAGAGCACACACCAACAGAAGAGTCTTTTCTTTTTTAGAATATTTTTTAAGAATAATATTAAAAAATATTAAAAAATAATATTAAAAAATAATATTAAAAATAATATTAAAAATATTTAAAAATGGAAATTAACCAAAAAATGGCCCAAATGTGGACCAAACACAGGCAGGACAGCAAATGAAGCAAGCAGCACTCACAGCAGCAAGGAATGAATCCAATCCCAGTTGCTAGCAGCAGCCATTGCCAAGCCAACCCAATGCAAACTCCCTCTGCAGCAAGCTACGGGCCGCGCGGAGCCGCTTTGAAAGGGCTCGCCGGCCAATCAAAAAGGGACAGCCACGGACCCATGGTGCACTGCTTGGGAGCGCCGGATTGGCTCCCATGCACCAGCACTCCAGCAGCCTCCACCCCATTAACGAAACGAGCGGAGGCTCGTAAATACTATGGGGGCTGCTGGTTCGATATTTATAAACCCTTCCGGGTTTGGAGATTTGTTTCAATATCGCTTCGGAAATGGTAAAATTAACGAATTATTAACGAATTAACGAATTAACGAACCAAATCGCACAGGCCTACAAAGCACCTCTCTACCGAATCCTGGTTGTGTATATGAAGGAATCTATATAAAAACCGAAATGTTCCTCAACATATGCCTTCAAGCATGCTCTGTATTCAATTACGCTTCCACAGTGTGAGCCAAACCTTACGAAAGAAAGAAGCCCTCCTTGATGCTGCGAATGCTGCTCCCATTGAAGCTGATATTCCAAGTGAAACTGATTAATTGTACGGGTGCCAAAACCCATCTTTCGTTCTGTTTCTGACCCACCTCTCAGCTTCCTGAGTGCAACTCCAAATCTCCCGAAAGCATTCGTTCTGCTTTCACACACAACAAACTTTATTCGTCTTATTTTGATTAATTTGCAGATTTCAAACACATTGTGGAAGCCGAGAGGTTATCTTAAAGCACGTACATTATTGGTAATGTTGTCTTTGGATGTGTTGTATACAAAAGTTCACAACTTTTGGGATTCAAGGATACCATCCATCCATCTTGCCCTTGGTCGGCCCCTCTTCCTTTTTCCTTCCATTTCCCCCAGAATCATTGTCTTCTCTAGGTGACCTCATGGACCATCCCATGCCAGAGCTCCCTGCCGGCCATCACCATCCCCAGCTCCTTCAAGCTCAAGCCAATCACTTCAAGGATGCCATCCATCCATCTTGCCCTTGGTCGGCCCCTCTTCCTTTTTCCTTCCCTTTTCCCCAGCATCATTGTCTTTTCTAAGCTTTCCTGTCTTCTCATGATGTGGCCAAAGTCCTTCATCTTGGCCTCTACTATCCTTCCCTCCAATGAGTAGTCAGGTTTATTTCTTGAAGTATGGACTGGTTGGATCTTCTTGCAGTCCAAGGCACTCTCAGAACTTTCCTCCAGCACCACAGCTCAGAAGCATCTCTCTTCCTTCTCTCAGCCTTCCTTATGGTCCAGCTCTCACATCTGTACGTGACTACGGGGAATACCATTGCTTTGACTGTGCGGATCTTGGTGATTATTATTGCTCATGATTTTATATTAGGTCAGGGGCTTTTAGACTCCGCTTTGAGTCTCCTAATACCCTAGGCCCTTGGGAAGAGCCTGATATTCAGAGATGAACCCAACCACTTGGACCTAGTGTGCATGTGTTCTGTGATGTTATGTACATGTAATAATAATAAACTAGCTTGGGGACCCAGTGGTGCCTGGGTTATTTGAGAAAGGCATTGTGTGCCAAGGTTGGTCTTTCTCAGTTATTAATGTGGCTCACAGCGGTCTCAGGAAGTTAGTGAAGGTACTTCAAGTCCCATCATCCGTAGTCTATCCTCCTCAAAACTGCACCATGATGTAGAGTGGGTAATGGGGGCTCTGTGTGCCAAGTTTGGTCTTGAGCAGTCACTGGATGAGGGTCACAGCAGTCTCAGCAAGTGAGTGGAGATACTTCAAGTCCCATCATCCATAGCCCCTCTTCCTCGAAACTGCACCAGGATGTACAGTGGGTCATGGGGACTCTGTGTGCCAAGTTTGGTCTTCATCAATCATTGGATGAGGGTGGCATCAGTCTTGGGAAATGAGTGGAGGTACTTCAAGTCCCATCACCCATGGTCCATCCTCTTCAAAACTGCACCATGATGTAGAGTGGATAATGGGGGCTCTGTGTGCCAAGTTTGATCAATCATTGGATGAGGGTCGCAGAAGTCTCAGGAAGTGAGTGGAAATACTTCAAGTCCCATCATCCATGGCCCCTCCTCCTCAAAACTGTATCGGGATGTACAGTGGGTCATGGGGGCTCTGTGTGCCAAGTTTGGTCTTGATCAATCATTGGATGAGGGTCGCAGTGCTCTCGGGAAGTGAGTGGAGGTACTTCAAGTCCCATTATCCATGGTCTGCCCTCTTCCAAACTGCAGTAGGATGTAGAGTGGGTCATGGGGGCTCTGTGTGCCGAGTTTGGTCTTTATCGGTCTTTGTTGGGGGCCACAGTGGTCCATGGAAACCAAACCGTTTGAAAGTACTACAAATCCCATAAACCATGGCCCACCTCCCCCAAACCGGACCAGGACGTAAAGGGGGTCATGGAGGTTATGTGTGCCAAGTTTAGTCCAGGTGTGTCACCCATGTTGGTCACAGTGGCCTGTGAAAGTGGCAGCCAATCAGAAAGCTGCCACATACACCTCCCTACGTTCACCCTCCACATACAAACATTCACTTTTATTATTATATATAGATAGATATAGATATAGACAGTAATAATAATAGCCTGATATTCAGAGATGAATCCCAGAGACTTGGACCTAATGTGCATGTGTGCAGTGTTGTTATGTGCACATAAATTAAAAATAGACTCCAAACATACCTGAGATAGTGATGAGCACGTTGAGTCCTTCAAGCACATCCATTTGCTGAAACCGCCTCCTGGTTATCAGCGAGTAAACTCTTCCTTGCCCACTTCTGTCCAGGAGCCACAATCCATTCTCAGTCCCCACAAGCAAATTCACGCCTGTTAATGAAAGAAGAAGAAGAATACACAGTGTTAGTATTTTGGGAATTTAGATTCTCCCAGGCATTCTGGATCATTTCGACCCACCTATTGAGCACCCAGTGACAGCATGGAAGTGTACCTCCCCCACTCATGGCTCTTTCATGCTATAGGATTGTGGCAGCCGTTAGGAGAAAATAAAATAATAAAGGGAAATCATAATAATTTAGAATAAAATAGAAGATTCATGTTCCTACCTGATCCTGAAAAGACCATTTCTAATGAGTAAATTTGCAAGCATGAAAACCTACAGATGATATTGATTGACACTGGACTTTGGGTCAGTTTGCTCTAGCTGATGTTTACATAGATATGAAGTCAACAAGAGAAGTTTGGCAGGACAAAGAAATCAATAGTATCGATCCAAGACTTGGAACATCTAAGGTCATATGGTGAGAGAGCGCCATCCTCTGACCACTTAATGTAAATAGCAGGCAATTTCAGAAGAGTTTCATCCTAAGTAAATTCCTTCATGGTCTTCATATTAAGAAATAAGTTATAATGAAGTAATTAAGGCTGGATTGATTAGAGGAGATTGCCTTGATCAAATCTTATGTTATAAGCATGTTGTTGTTCATTCGTTCAGTCGTCTCCGACTCTTCGTGACCTCATGGACCAGCCCACGCCAGAGCTCCATGTCAGCCGTCACCACCCCCAGCTCCTTCAAGGTCAGTCCAGTCACTTCAAGGATGCCATCCATCCATCTTGCCCTTGGTCGGCCCCTCTTCCTTTTCCTTCCACTTTCCCCAGCATAATTGTCTTCTCTAGGCTTTGCTGTCTCCTCATGATGTGGCCAAAGTACTTCAACTTTGGTTATAAGCATATAAAAGTTATAATTCAATTAGAGATTTAAGGAATTGAACATATACGTGTCATCTTAGGGTAACGGGTGAAGGTTGGGATAAGTTACATAATCGAGCAGATGTTTGGGGTCACAATGTAGCTGCCAAGACCTGATAAAGATGTCCTTGAAACTATACATGGAAACACCTGTTAATGATTGTATTGTGTAAATGGCAGACTCTTTCTTTGCATGTGTGGAAAGGGTGATATTCTGCTATAAAAGACCGAAGCGACTCAGACCTCAGTTGTGACAGTCATTTGAGCTGTTCACCCTATACTCTGCAGAGATAGAAATAAAGCCTTGGAAATAGGACAAGCTGTCTCCATCTTCTTCCTTCTCCAAAAGTACTCTAATGATCTCGGGTAACGTATATTCCGCACCAGGATCATAGATGTAGAAGAGACCACAAGGGCCACTTACCCATGCAAGAATATAAAGTATTCCCTCCCAAAGGAGGAGGCGGCAAGAAGGAGGCATGAAAGAAGGAAGGAAGGTCCCTAGAAAGCACATGAGACAGAGAGGAACACAACACACTGCCGATCTTCCCTCTTCCATGAGCAAAAGGTAATGGTGGAGCTTTTTCTCCAAGGGTGTTGCATCTCAGAGTAAGCTTTGCCTTGCTTCCAAACACCACCACACAAGAGCTGTAGTTTTATAGATTATTGAGGAAAAAGTCCAAGTCAAAATAAAGAATAAGCATTGCAACGTTCCAAATATTTAGGTTAAATGCAGAATATAGTTCCAAAGATCTTTAGGTAAAAACAGGAGGCACAATCCTATTGGCAAAGTTCAAAACAGAGTCCAAGGTGCAAGCAATGAAACAATTGCCCCAAGAATCACAATGCAAGAAATCCCAAGCGTGCTGCTTTCCAGCTAAGGTTATTCCATGAAGCTTTCAGGCTAATAAGCTACATGGAACTGACGCTTTCCCTTAGTTTGCAAGATGCCTTTCTAACATGGAAACATTATGCTCTCACCAACATGAAAGCATTGCAGTGACCTTTCCCTGAGCTGGCTTCTCGTCTGCCGGTCAGGTGAGAACTCCGCCTGACCCGTAAATCAAGACGGGCTTGCCGGGTCAGGTCATTATCAAGGCTTTCCGCGCTTTCACTATCGGCGTGGGAAGGAGGCTGTAGCGAGGGAGGGAGACTATTTCTTTATTTAAGAAAAACCTCTTTGCTCTTATACTGATTCAGTTTCTTCTTTTATATTAGCTGGGACTTTCTGTGTGCTGTTTAACCTTTGTACAGGCAATGAGACACACTTCTGTATAACAAAGTAACACAGTAACACATTTATAACTTCTGGCTCCAACGCTTGTAGCTACATTTTGTGTTTTGTTGCAGTCTTGAAGCTTACAGTCAGTATCATATACTTGGTTTACTTTTCTGAAATAGACTTTCAATGTTTCCCATTTACAAACATGTTACTTGCTTTACACACTCTTGACTGAAATTATGTTCTGACTAAAGCACCACTGGCTTTCTTAATGTTCCTAAAACTTGAGCTCTATTTAACTAACTGCTTCTATATATCAGAAGTCTTTAACACATCTTCATAACTGCTTATTTCTAACCGGAGTTCCTAACTCTTTTCTCTCACAGAAGTTCCTAACTGCCTCTCACAAACAAGTATCCCTAACTCCCTCACAAACAGCAATTCCTAACTGCCTATTTTTAAACTTTGGCTCCTCCCCTTTGGAATGTTCATTTCTGCTCTCTCTCCAACTGTCATTTCGGCCTAGCAGCCTTTTCAAATCCTGGGCCTACGCTAATCTGCATATGACCAATCGGCTTCCATATGCAAATGAATCCTATCTCTGCTGTTGCTACCCTGTCTGTGCCTATCCTTCCCTATCTGCCATATGTAAACATAGAGCTATATACTAAAAATTTAACATAGAGTAGCAATTTCGCTACAGAGGCAAAGGCCACTCTACCTGTTCGCTATCTACTTTGTTAAAATTCCTTTCTTCTGAGAATTGCTGTGTTGACTGTCTGTGGGAACCTCAGAAAAAGACCTAGAAGCAGGCCCAGAAATCTGAGGCACAGAAAACGAGCCAGGAATCTGAATCCCATCATTCTGATCATCAGAGAACCATCTCAGCCACAACAAAGGGGCATTTTGGTTCCTCCCACACATTTATTTATTCTACTTATTGATTTACAGTATTTATATTCCACCTTGCTCACCCCGCAGGAGATTCAGGGCGGATCACAATGCACATATACATGGCAAACATTCAATGCCATAGGCACACAACATATACAGACAGACACACAGAGGCTATTTAACTTTCCGGCTTCATAAAGGGATGCTTCGAATTTCAGCCACAGGGGGAGCTGTCACTTCACCGTCCACTTGTAACACTGATGGAGTACTCCCTCATTCTTTTGCACACTGCTGGAGAGTTTTTGGGTGTCGTAAATTAGTTAAATTAGCCTCCCCACAAAAGCGGTACCTAAATTTCGGCCACAGGGGGAGCGGTCGCTTCACCGTCCATTTGTGACACCGATGGAGTACTTCCTCATTCTTTTGCATACTGCTGGAGAGTTTTATGGTGTCATAAATTAGTTAAATTACCCTCCCCACATAAGCGGTACCTAAATTTCGGCTACAGGAGGAGCTGTCACTTCACCATCCACTTGTGACACCTATGAGGTACTACCTCATTCTTTTGCACACTGATGGAGAGTTTTATGGCATCGTAAATTAGTTAAATTATCCTCCCCACATAAGCGGTACCTAAATTTCGGGCACAGGGGGAGCTGTCGCTTCACCGTCCGCTTGTGACACCGATGGAGTACTTCCTTATTCTTTTGCACACTGATGGAGAGTTTTATGGTTTCGTAAATTAGGTAAATTAGCCTCCCCTAAATTTGAGCCTCTGGGGGAGCTGTTGCTTCATCGTCCATTTGTGACACTGATGGAGTACTTTCTCATTCTTTTGCACACTGCTGAAGAGTTTTATAGCGTCGCAAATTAGTTAAATTAGCCTCCCCACATAAGTGGTACCTAAATTTTGGGCACAGGGGGAGCTGTTGCTTCACCATCCATTTGTGACACCGATGGAGTACTTCCTCATTCTTTTGCACACTGCTAGATAGTTTTATGGCATCGCAAATTAGTTAAATTAGCCTCTCCACAGAAGCGGTACCTCAATTTCGGCCACAGGGGGAGCTGTTGCTTCACTGTCCACTTGTGACATCGATGGAGTACTTCCGCATTCTTTTGCACACTGCTGGAGAGTTTTTTGGTGTCGTAAATTAGTTAAATTAGCCTACCCGCATAAGCGGTACCTAAATTTTGGCCACGGGGGGCGCTGTTGCTTCACCGTCCACTTGTGACACCGATGGGGTACTTCTTCATTCTTTTGCACACTGCTGGTGAGTTTTATGGCTTTGCAAATTAGTTAAATTAGTCTCCCCACATAAGCGGTACCTAAATTTCGGCCACAGGGGGAGCTGTTGCTTCATCATCCATTTGTGACACCGATGGAGTACTTTGTCATTCTTTTGTACACTGCTGGAGAATTTTATGGCATCGTAAATTAGTTGAATTAGCCTCCCCACATAAGCGGTACCTAAATTTTGGCCACAGGGGGAGCTGTCGCTTCATCATCCATTTGTGACACCGATGGAGTACTTCCTCGTTCTTTTGCACACTGCTGGAGAGTTTTATGGCGTCGTAAATTAGTTGAATTAGCCCCTCCACATAAGTGGTACCTAAATTTCCTACTTGACAGCAAGCTAGACAAATAGTTGGGAGCTTACTCCAACCCGGGCTGGCTTCGAACTCATGACCTTTCGGTCAGAAGTGATTTTAATGCAGCTGACTCCCAACCAGCTTTGCCTCAACCCTTAAGTGGGTGGCTCAGTAGTCTATATACATAAAAATGTAATGTTAGTTCGTGCTACCATCAGAACTCAAAAACCACTGGGGGAATTGACACCAAATTTGGACACAAGGCACCTAACAGTCCAATTTATGTCCTCCACTCAAAAAAATGATTTTGTCATTTGGGAATTGTTGTTGCTGGGATTTATAGTTTACCTAAAATCAAAGAGCATTCTGAACTCCACCAATGATGGAATTGGGCCAAACTTAGCACACAGGGCTCCCATGACCAACAGAAAAAACTGGAAGGGTTTGGTGGACATTGACATTGAGTTTGGGAATTATAGTTCACCCACATCCAGAGAGCACTGTGGACTCAAACAATGATGGATCTGGACCAAACTTGGCACGAATATTCCATATGCCCAAATATGAACACAGATGGAGTTTAAGGGAAATAGACCTTGACATTTGGGAGTTGGGGTTGCTGGGATTTATAGTTCACCTAAAATCAAAGAGCATTCTGAACTCCACCAGCAATGGAATTCAACCAATCTTTGCACACAGGACTCCCATGACAAACAGAACACACTGGAAGGGTTTGGTGGGCATTGACCTTGAGTTTGGGAGTTGTAGTTCACCTACATCCAGAGAGCACTGTGGACTCCAACAGTGATGGATCTGGACCAAACTTGACACAAAAATTCCATATGCCTAAATATGAACACAGATGGAGTTTGGAGGAAATAGACCTTGACATTTGGGAGTTGTAGTTACTGGGATTTATAGTTCACTACAATTAAAGAGCATTCTGAAACCCACAAACGACAGAAATGGGGCAAACTTCCCACACAGAACCCCCATGACCAACAGAAAATACTTAAGGCCATCCAGTCCAACTCTCTTCAGGGCAAGAAAATGTAATCAGAGCCCTCCTGACAGAGAGCCATCCAGCCATAGATATAGATGGATAGATATGATTCATAGAATCATATAATCATAGAATCAAAGAGTTGGAAGAGACCTCGTGGGCCATCCAGTCCAACCCCATTCTGCCAAGAAGCAGGAATGTTGCATTCAGATCACCCCTGACAGATGGCCATCCAGCCTCTGCTTAAAAGCTTCCAAGGAAGGAGCCTCCACCACACTCTCTCCGCGGCAGAGAGTTCCACTGCTGAACGGCTCTCACAGTGAGGAAGTTCTTCCTCATGTTCAGGTGGAATCTCCTCTCTTGTAGTTTGAAGCCATTGTTCCATTGCGTCCTGGTCTCCAGGGAAGCAGAAAACAAGCTTGCTCCCTCCTCCTCCCTGTGGCTTCCTCTCACATATTTATACATGGCCCTCATCATATCTCCTCTCAGCCTTCTCTTCTTCAGGCTAAACATGCCCAGCTCCTTAAGCCGCTCCTCGTAGGGCTTGTTCTCCAGACCCTTGATCATTTGAGTCGCCTTCCTCTAGACACAGGCTATTGTTTTGACCGGATGCCTAGCTTACCAAGTGAGGAGGCTGCCATATTTGATAAGGTTTATTATCAGGGTTGGTGGCAATAATGAGATGGAAAAGGAAAGGCAGAGGGTTGCTAGCGATGGCTCGGCGAGAAGAGAGTCCGCTCCACCTCGCCACACATATCATTACCAGTTTGGCTATGCTGTTCCGTTCTTAATTTAAAATCTTGGCTTCCTCGAAACATACATCAAATGAAACCCAGAGAGCTGTAAACTGTAAATCTACATTTCCTGGGATAATTTCTTCCCCGCATTTTATTCAGTTGTGTTGTTTCTCATTTAGGACCCGAGCCGAGGCAAGAGGGCGTGGGTAAAATATTGCCTCGGCTCCCCCAAGTTCATCGCTGCATCGCCTGATGCCAGGGAGATGGAAAATTAAAGTTGGTGGGGAATGAAGGCTTAAGTATTTATTTATTTGTCGTGTCAGGGCAACCAGTCAATTGCATTACATTTCTAACAGAACAAAACAAACAAACAAACAGACAGACAAAACACAAAATTTGCAAGTTTGGTAGTTGATTAAATGTCCTTTGACCAGTATCTGGCCACTTGGAGTGCTTCTGGTGTTGCTGCAAGAAGGTCCTCCATTGTGCATGTGGCAGGGCTCAGGGTGCATTGCAGCAGGTGGTCAGTGGTTTGCTCTTCTCCACACTCGCATGTCGTGGATTCCACTTTGTGGCCCCATTTCTTGAGTTGGCTCTGCATCTCGTGGTGCCAGAGCGCAGTCTGTTCAGCGTCTTCCAAGTCGCCCAGTCTTCTGTGTGCCCAGGGGGGAGTCTCTCATTTGGTATCAGGTTCTGGGTTTGAGCCTGCCACTTTTGGACTCTCGCTTGCTGAGGTGTTCCAGCGAGTGTCTCTGTAGATCTTAGAAAACTATTTCTTGATTTAAGTCGTTGACGTGCTGGCTGATACCCAAACAGGGGATGAGCTGGAGATGTCTCTGCCTTGGTCCTTTCACTATTGGCTGCTACTTCCCGGCGGATGTCAGGTCGTGCAATACCGGCTAAGCAGTGTAATTTCTCCAGTGGTGTAGGGCGCAGGCACCCTGTGATAATGCGGCATGTCTCATTAAGAGCCACATCTACTGTTTTAGTGTGGTGAGATGTGTTCCACACTGGGCATGCATACTCAGCAGCAGAGTAGCACAGCGCAAGGACAGATGTCTTCACTGTATCTGGTGTCATCCCCAGGTTGTGCCAGTCAGCTTTTGTATGATATTGTTTCTAGCACCCACTTTTTGTTTGAGCATAGCGCAAGGGCAGATGTCTTCACTGTGTCTGGTTGTGATCCCCAGGTTGTGCCAGTCAGCTTTCGTATGATATTGTTTCTAGCACCCACCTTTTTGCTTGATGTCCAGGCAGTGCTTCTTGTAGGTCAGAGCACGGTCCAGAGTGACTCCCAGGTATTTGGGTGCGCTGCAATGCTCCAGTGGGATTCCTTCCCAGTAATAATCCTCAGAGCTCGGGATGCTTGTCTGTTCTTAAGGTGAAAGGCACATGTCTGTGTTTTAGATGGATTAGGGATCAGCTGGTTTTTCCTGTAATAGGCAGTAAGAGCACCTAGAGCTTCGGAGAGCTTCTGTTCAACCATCTTAAGTAATGAGGATGAATCCCTAAGTGGCAGGCGGTGGGTGCAACCGGGCCCTTGGCTTATTGGACTCCAACACGGGAAAGCTGGCTTCGGGGACTAAGCGTACCGCTGACTCAAGTTGGGTCAGAAACACCAGAACTTGGAAATACTTACTAGTTTCAGTGATTTGAATTCGGCTTACAAAATTTTAAAAAAAGGAACTTTCCACTAAACGTAATATCTGCAACTCTCTGTATTAGTCAAGCTACGGAACTGTGTTTTGTTTGGTGGCACAGTGGTTTAAACCCTTGTGCCGGCAGGATTGAAGACTGACAGGTTGGAGATTCGAATTCCGAGTGAGTACGGATGAGCTCCCTCTGTCAGCTCCAGCTCGAGCAAAGCCTCCCACAAGGATGGTAACCCATAGAATCATAGAATCAAAGCGTTGGAAAAGACCTCACGGGCCATCCAGTCCAACCCCATTCTGCCAAGAAGCAGGAATATTGCATTCAAATCACCCCTGACAGATGGCCATCCAGCCTCTTCCTATCTGCGAGGAACCAGGAATTTCACCACTGGCCGAAACCAACATCAACTTCACTAAATAACCACATATCCCAAGACTATGAAACCAAGGATCTAGTTCCTTGGGGGCAAGGCAGAGATGATGATTCAAAAATGAAAACAATAACTCAGATTCTGGCTTGAGAGCTAAGCTATCGCTGAATCGTTAGGCAAACGTTGGTCATCTTAATCCTGACAACTAGACATGTCTTCATTGTTTCCCTGTTGCCCGCCTCCCTTCCACCTCATTGGCCGAGTGGCCAAAGCAGGGCTCAGGCCACCATTGGCTCTCCAGGATGGCTTGCTGATGTCACTGGCAATCATAACAAAGCATGGGGAGCATGACTTCCCTAGATCTAGACACTCTGCTCCTATTGATGCAGGCCAAAATCCCATTGGCTTTTTTTTGCTGGCACATCACATTGTTGTCTCATGTTTTACTTGCTGTCCATGAAGACTCTAAAATCTTTTCCACACGTCCTGCTCTCGAGCCAGGCATTGTCCCCCATTCTGTATCTTTGCATTTCGTTTTTTCTGCCTTAGTGGAGTCTCTTGCATGTGTCTCTGTTGAACTTCATTTAGTGAGTTTTGGCCCATCATCTCTCTAATCTGTCAAGATCCCTTTGAGTTCTGGTCCTGTCCTCTGGAGTCTAGGCTCTCCCTCCCAATTTGATGTCATCTGCAAACTTGATGATCCCGCTTTCTAGCCCTTCATTTAAGTCATGAATGAAGATCCTGAGCAGGACCGGGCCCAGGACGGAACCCTGCAGATGGCACTCCGCTCGTCACTTCTTTCCAGGATGAAGAGGAGGAAGCCTTGGGGAGAATCACCCTCTGGGTTTGTCCACTTAACCCATTCCAGATCCACCTCACTGTAGTTTTGCCTCGCCCACATTAGACTCGTTTCCTTGCCAGAAGGTCATGGGGGACCTTGTCAAAGAAGGCCTTCCTGAAATCCAGGTACGCTCCATCCACGGCATCATTCCCCGCATCTATCCATGTTCTAAAAGCATTATCTTCTGATGTTTCACCTGCATCTATGGCATGCAACCTCTGAGGATGCTTGAAAGCCACAAAAGCCTTCGACAATACATTAAACCAAAACTATGTTTGCAAATCTGCAATTGCAAGAACATGACCACCTGTCACCTTTTCTGTGCTTACCCCACAATGCAGAACACAGGATCTCTGAATTGAACTTCTTCTTATATTTGCGGATTTCTGGGCTGTCACTCTGAGGCCGGATGTTAGTGGGGTTCACGTTGACAACAGAGCCTTTCCTTGCATTTTGTCTGCTGCTGGGCTCGGGTTTCACATTGGGTGCTGGGAAGAAAGGCAGAAAGGAGAGATTACATGGCTACTTGGTCTACTGCCCAAAGTGAAGTCTGCAAAACAACTGTATCATCATCAGTGACTGCTGAAAACTCTCTGTGGACATTGTCTCTAGACCGGGGGTTCTCAAACTTTTAAAGCCACTGAGCCCTTTTTGAAGCAAAAGTTTCCATTGGAGCCCCAAGAAATGTTTATATATTATATGAAATGTTACACACACACACACACACACACTAGCAGTCCCCTGCCACCCATTTATAATGACGCAGCAAGTAGTAGAGAAGATTTTAAAATTAAATTTATATATGGGGGAATATATATATATATATATATATATATATATATATATAATCCCAACACTGCTCAGCCAAATTATAACGATGACACCTCCACTAGCTCACCAAAATATAGAGGGAGTATGGCTGCTGAACCAACTGTCTATTTAAAGTTAGGAACTGGGAACCACTGGAACTGAGAGACTTAAAATGATTCTTCAAAATAATTCCGCTGCCACCATATTAATAATAAACAGACTGAGGTATTATTGAGAGGTTGTTCAGTAACACACTCTGTGTCACTATAGTTTTCTTAGAGGCTGCTGAAAGCTGACTTGAATAATGCTTTGACCACAAAGGTATTCACAGTGAGGCTGGTATAAGTTGATAAAAATAACAAGAACGTTTATTGAACAGGCTTGAAATAATTCAAGTACAAAAGCGTAATGGTTTCAGTAAAATACTGGCATAAAAAGCTTGTGGTTGCGTTTGAGTAAAGGTCCTAAAAACTTCTGGGTTACAAGTCTTAAAAGTTTCAATACAGAAATTTACTTCAGGAAATGAATCTCTGAAAGTAACTCCCAAAAATGCCCCTTAGGAATCTAGCCAAAAACACTGAACTAGACTTCCTTAGGAAATGAACAGACCACTAACGGGGTGCTGTTCCACACAGTATTCTAGCTATATTCTCAATAACTGTTCTGAATACTACACAAAAGACTGACCCAAACTTCTTCTTCAAAACCCAAACTGCTCTCGCTAACAACCACTCTTCTTCTCTCTACCCATTCCAAATTCCAACTGGCAAACTGGGACCTCAAACCTCAGTTTAAAAGACACCCCATTTTCCTAGCCAATCCTAGCCTTCTGATTTTCCCTCCTAGACTAGAACACACCCCCTCAAGGCAAATCCAAACTAAGATGGCTTCTCCCTGTCTCCCTTTCCTAAAATGGATTCCGTGGCTTCGCCGGACCCACTTATTTAGGCTTTTGCCAGCTAGCTAAGGTAAGGGATTCATTACACATTGCTGTGGCCCAGTCTGTGTATATGTTTTGTGTGTGTATATATATGTGTGCATATATATGGTTTTGTGCATGCGCTGCAGCATCTTTTTGCTTTTTTGACTTTTTAAGTCCCTTCAGCTGTGTTTTTAAGTGTTTTGATGAGTGATGGTCACTCGTTGGCCTGAGAGATATCTTGTGCTCAAATTTGGTGTCAATTCGCCCAGTAGTTTTTGAATTATGTTAATCCCACAAACTAGTATTATATATATATATATATATATATAGAGAGAGAGAGAGAGAGAGAGAGAGACATGCACATAGACACACACAACCTGTCCCCTGCCATGCGTTGCTGTGTATATGTGTTTTGTGTGTGTATATTTGTGTATATGTGTTTATATCTTTGTTTGCATATGTATGTGTGCAAATACATTGTAATGTATTTTTTTTATTTTTGGCTTTTTAAGTGTTTTCAGTGTTTTTATGAGTGAGGGTCACTCGTTGGCCTGATACATGTATTGTGTCCAAATTTGGTGTCAATTTGTCCAGTGGTTTTGGAGTTATGTTAATCCACATGTCTATCTGTCTGTCTGTCTGTCTGTCTGTCTATCTATCTCAGGGATACATAAACTTTTGGACAAAGGACAATAATAATAATAGTAATAGAAGCAACTGGTCAACTCCCTTCTGCCATGCAGGAAACGCACATTCAAAACACCCCCAACAGATGGCCACCCAGACTTAATAATAATAATAATAATAATAATAATAATAATAATAATAATAATAATAATAAGGTTGTTGTAGGTTTTTTCAGGCTATATGGCCATGTTCCAGAGGCATTCTCTCCTGACATTTTGCCTGCATCTTTGGCAAGCATCCTCAGAGGTAGGCAAGCATCCTCAGAGGTAATATTCTCCTGGTGGGCATCTCAAAGGCATCTAGTTGACTATTGTTTGGACAAAACACTGAATGAGATGAGCGCCTGCCATAGATGCAGGCGAAACGTCAGGAGAAAATGCCTCTAGAACATGGCCATATAGCCGAAAAAACCTACAACAACCCAGTGATTCCGGCCATGAAAGCCTTCGACAATACAATAATAATACAATATTCACTGATACATCACACAATCCTAGACACTTGGGAAGTGTCCGACGTGGAATCCAATACAACAACCAGCAGAGTGATCTTGTCTGCTGTGAACTCATCTTTTTGTGTTTCTAATAATAATAATAATAATAATAATAATAATAATAATAATAATAATAATAATTCTATCGTGCGCTGGGCCTGTAAATAATTGTCTTTAGAACAGGATGCGCAACCTTTGCCCAACGGGAAGCCAGGGGGCCCAAGGAGAAGTTCTCAGAGGTTTTCCACCACAATAGTCTTTAGATGGCTTGTGAAGTATAACAAAGTTCTTTATTAATGAACAATCAAACAGAAACTTCTCTTGTCTTCAGAAAAGTTAAGCAAATGATTCCAAGCTTTTAGGCAACTGGTGAATTCCTAATCTTGCCCACGAAGGACAGGCAACTGTCTTCAATAACTTCTTCTTTAAAGGAAAATCCCCGTTTTAACTTCTCCCAGGCTGACTGTAATCTAACCCTTACTGATGTGGGCTCCGCTACCGGGTCGAACTGCTTCTCGAACGCCGAGTGGACCTACCAGTAAAGGCTTAGATGTTCTCCAGCTGGAGTTCTTTGGTCTTTAGGGCTGTTTTCCTGGAAATTCTTAAAGGTTGAAGCTTTTGTACACGCGAAGCTTGCACATGTCCTGTACATTAGCTTCCCTTTCTGAGACTAACTAAAAAATGGCTCCCTTCCCAATTGCCCTGAGCAAGGAGCAGGATCAAAACGTAACGATGATGGACAGGTGACTTGCCCTATGACTGCAACCAAAGGAAGCCACCTATCTGCAGAGTCCCTGAAACCCAGGACTGCAAGCAAACATTTACTACAAAGCAAATAAAGTTGGAGCTCCTGGTACAGCTGTACCAGAATAATAATAATAATAATAATAATAATAATAATAATAATAGAAACCCAAGGGGCCATCCAGTCCAACTCCCTTTTGCCTTGCACGAATAACACAATAAAGGAACCTTTCGAGAACCCCTGCTCTAGACTACTGCAATTTTTGCTATCTGTTTTTGAGAACATCTAGGGCAGGGGTCCCCAAACTACGGCCCGCGGGCCACTTCCAGCCCTCCAAGGGCCCTTATCCGGCCCGCAGAGGAGGAGCGCCCCCCCCCCACACAGTGCCCCTCCCTTGGCTGGCTCACACAATCCGTCAGGCCCAATGGGCAGCGTGAGCCAGCCAAGGGCAGCTGCTCCGCATGGCATACTCGCGCAGAAAGCACCTCGCAAGGTGCTTTACTCGCAAGTAGGCCACGCGGGCCTGCTCCTCCCTTGGCAGGCTCACGCTATCCGTCAGACCCAATGGACAGCGTGAGCCAGCCAAGGGAGGCTGCCATGGCGCTCCATGCAGTCATGCCGGCCACATGACCTTGGAGATGTCTA